TAGCGGCTCATATTAAATATTCTGGGGGGACTTAAATGATTTAACATAAACTCCATACAACAACGAAAAATAAAAATACTTTTATTGGAAAATTAATCATACTACATAATTATACTACATATTAAACTATTATACTACATAATTTAATATTCAATTTAATATTTATTTAATATATTTCACTTAATTTAATACTAAATTTGTTTACAAACTTTTCAACTCTGCGATCTTTTTTTTATCTACAAAACCATAAATAAATGCAGATGACAGTGTGCAGCAACTAATGATGGCACAGTGACACGGAAATAATTGTCGTGAACCCAGTTTCAAAAGTGTCTATAATACGTGGCTTATTCTCCCCGGCTCCTTTCGTCCAATAAGTCAAACCATTACATGTTAAGATTGAACTTGTCGGGTGTCAATTTCACTGAAACGACGACTGTCGTCGAAATGACTAAAATAATATTTCCATCAAAATTAATATTTATAGGTCTTAGATTTTGTGGCCTACAATTTATAATAAAAAATTAAGAAAACAATATTACATATTTTCAATTAAAATAAAAATATTTTTATATATTCATATATTTAAAAATTAATTATTTACAAGTACCTAGCTATTTTGTAAAGAGGATACGCAATCACATTGTCTCCCCTGACAAGCCATCCCTGATATTTACTTCGTCCACGGGGATCCTTTATAAATTCAAGGTCGTAATATAATTATCCCATTAAATTCATTCTTATCCTGATAAAATTCTAATTATTCGATTAATTTTATTTTATTAATATGTTTAACGTATTATCTCCGTTCACGCCATACTACGGCGAATCGTAATATTCATACTCATTAAATTACATTTGTATTGCATAGACGATGATTTAGATAAGTTACATATTATATTATGTACCTACTCTGACTCTAAAGTCTTGGAAAGTTTATAATTTAATAAGTCTATTATTCAAATTAAAACCCAATTTCCGGATCTATCGACGTAAATTAACAACAACACCTAATTAGTATTCAAAAAAAAAATTTCGTTCCCGTTAGTCATGAAAATTCGGTCTTTTGCATTCTAGATCATTATGTATTTGCATAAAATTTTTTTCGCCGATGTTGACTGCAGATATAGCTACACACGTAATGTGGAGTGAAAATGGATTTATAATATTATATTATATAAAATCCCATCAAAGGCGCATACTTTGTGTTCTATATGTCATATTATTATTATTTTGTTACGACTTACCTATCACGTAAAAAATGCGTGTATAAAACGTCTCTCGTGTATACTGTAGGCGTTTTTTACCAATTTTTAATCGGATTTTATCCAATACGATCATCTAAAAATCTAAAATCACCACATGCATACGTAAATAATGTACACAGATAAAAATCAATATATTGTTACACTTCCTCAACAATCTGACGAGAACAATAATAAATAAAATAATAAAGAAATATACTTTTAACGAATTAATTTGAGCCACAACATGTTCACGATTAACTTCAAACGCTATGATAGTTTATATGATTTGATCAAGGTAAATCTATCACCTTCTATATAAGTTCAGATAAATACATTATAGGTAAATAGTATGCAATTAAATTGTGGTTACAGTCGATACATGTCTAATTCTATTGAAAACGCAAAGGAACAACATTTGTTTTAATTAAGTTTAGTTAGATTACAAAATATAATTTAAAGTTACATGGTTAACCTTTACTTTCTTGTTAGATTTACCCACAATATATAGTTCTAAATTAATCTAACTTTGTTATTGTACTAAAAGGCGAAGTTTGTAAAAATTACCCAAAAAAAGAATCCATTTATTATAATTATTATTTCAACTTTTTAATTAAATTCAGTAGTGTAAGGCTAATTAATTTAATTATTATTTATATTATTCCTACAGTGTAGTTTTGTTTTTTATTCATATAATAACAAATTTTTTTTTTTAATTTCTGAAGTATTTTTGACAATTGTACGATAAACAAATTCATTACTGTTTTATATGCTTATTTATTATTAAAACAAATGTTTCTATTTCAACTCATAGCCTAAAATACATTTCTAAAAAACATCAAATATTTTTAGAAATAGTTATATATTTTCTAAATTTTTGCTAACCATCTCAATCATCTAAAGAATAATTATTGCTTTAACTAAATATCAATAATTGTTAAATATGATTATATTCAATCAAGTAAATATTAATTATATGTTCTTGGTGAAAATGTGAATTATAATAAACGAAAAATTATTTTCTAAAAAAAAAAATATTATTGAAACGAAATATTTTTTTTTTTTTTTAATTAAGATGACTATAACAACTATAAAATATATAATATTATTATATCGATGGAAACTACATAAAACTAGAATGCATGGTTTCACGTTACGAAAACAATTTATCATTTCAAAATATAATAGATTACGTGTCAATATCGGACATATATCCTCCAAAATCCAATTATCATTAATATCATACTTACCGCATCATAATACACAATTAATATGTAAAGCATATAATTAAATACGTCTGGGTTTTATTTTACAGTACCCGGTATTACAAACGTGAAATGGTATATTCCTCAATGTGTTCCACTCTTATAATATAATTTATAGTACATTTACTTCTGAGCAGAAATTAATTTAAACATCTCAAGTTGTCTATTGGAACCCGAGACCAATGATAAATTCGCATTATGATCAGCAAATATTAAATTTGAAAATAAATTGTCGGTCCGTACTTACATATATATTGTGAGTGAATTTAAATCAAACAGATTTTTCTGTGTACCCCGTTAAAACGTTAAATAATTTCAAAACTAGAAAAGGGTCAAAAGTTGTAGCTCACTCAGTTCCTCCTTCCTCTAAATCTGTTCCTCACCTTATGCATATAGATATTATTACATATTATGTTTTCGTAATTTATTAAATCTTTTCATAAACATACTAACATATATGCTTATAATAACGTGTACAAACTGTTGAAGAGTGGAAGGAAATTTCTAATTTATTGATTGCAACGATTTATACATTTCACCGCACTTTAATAATATTGTTTTTTTGTGAATACCAAAAGACTTCAATCGGTGCATTGAATATATGACAGACGGATAACACATAATATGAATATATAGTAATAATTTATCAATAATAATAAAAATAATAATATTAAAACGTTCTAAACGAATATACTATTAATTACATTTTGCTGAAAACTTTTTCCAAACGATTGCAAGCACGACATGCGCGTCAACGACTGTATGCATACACTTTACGCGATTAGGTTTTTAATATTATAATTAAATTTCTACCATGTGTATTAGAATTATTTTGATATTATTACGTTTAGCTTAAGAAAATGTTTGCTCCGTACAATTCGTGTTTAATATATCTACTGAAGCGTATATTTTCGTTAAGTCTAATATGTGAGATGAACAAAACGCGAAACGCACATTTAATCTAACATAAAACGTGCGCTGCACGTACCGTTAATGGTAGTGGTGATGCACGTCATGGCCGAGGCGTACTGAAATAAGAATTGATCGGCTGGCGTATAAAATATTATGCACAAACCGTTTGTAGCGTATTTATTAAAACGATGATAAATTCAAATTATGAACACATTTTCAAAAGCGTTAAAATAATATTAAAACGATAACGTGCGATATCCGCGAAATACGACGTATTTTCAAATCGAAATTTTGATAAATTGGTTGCTAAAAAATATTTCCTCCGTCCGTTTTTCGCGCCTATTTTACCGCACCTTGCGATATAATACGTATGTGTACTATGTATACACAATGTACTAATAAAAGACTACTTTAAGTGGAAAGATGGAAGGGGTGGGGGAGACGAACAATGCGAGAGAAACTCCTTTTTTCGATGAAATCGGGATCGAGAAGTGACGATCGAATTATTATATCGCCGTAAAATAATATCATCGACGTGCCGTCGAAATAAAACCATACTATAACAACGTAATATGACATACATCGTGTACTGCAGCTGTTTCGTTGCACAACAATATCGAATATCGAACACATAACGTCGGCATCGGTTCATGGACGATTCGGTTACCGTACACGGATGCGCGAAAACATGATCATCGCTGGCCAGATCAACGGGACGGATCGGTGTTCGAACGGTCTCTTCGCGTCCTCACTTGATGGTAGACGACGGTGCGCAAACACGTTTAAAAGTGCAACATCGTGTGGACGAATAGAATGTTCGAAAGCGGTAGCACATGTCGTGTATCGGTTTCGTGTCGCGACAGGATACGAACGGTCCTTGTAAAGCTATGGTTTCCTAGGCGCGGCTGGTTGCGACGTCCGATCGCCGCGACCGTTTCAGCAACGATGCTCACACGTTATGCCTACAGACTGGTCTCCAAAGCACGGCTGTGGCTCTACCGCGAAGAGAACAGTGGTATCGCGACAGTCGCTCCGACTGTTGTCAAATGTACGGTTGTTGTTGTATACGCAATCATTACTATATTATCAAACGTATACTATTATTTCAAAAGATTTTTTTGGATCGAAATTAAAGAAAAAACATTTTATCTTCTTCCACCTCCTCTTCGATCAAATTTATAACGATTTTGTTATCATTCATAACACACGCGATTTCGGACATACTGAAATCGTATGGTTCAACAGACGTCGTTACTCTACAAAATTCAAAATACAGAAAATACGTTTACAGCCGCTACGATTTCCATGTCTACAAAACCAGTCATAGTTCAGCGACTGATCGCCAAAACCAACCGCGGCTAGAAAACCGTACCTTAAAGCATACACCGAACTGACGGAAACGTGATAAGCCCATCGGTTCCAAGTGGTGATGATCGTTTAGAATGTTCGCGTGGAACTGAAAACCGTTTCGAATTACGACACTTGTTGCGATACGACCACGTCGTACGATACGCGTTTGGTTCTACCCGCCGCGCGGACTGTTGGCGCACGAACATTTCAATACGAAAATCGACCTTACCTGAAGTTGCGGCTGCAGTGGCGTGAGCTGTTGCTGGTGCTGGTGCTGTTGCTGTTGCTGCTGTTGTTGCTGCTGCTGCTGCTGCTGCTGTTGTTGTTGTTGCTGCTGCTGTTGTTGCTGCTGCTGCTGCTGCTGGAGCAACAGGTGCGCGAGATCCTGCTGCTGCTGATGGTGATGCAGCTGATTGAGTAGCGCCACGGCAGCGGCCGCCGTGGTAGCTGGGTGGCCGGCCAGATGGCTAGGGTGCTGCGGTGGCGGCGGTGGTGGCGGGGACGGTTGCAACGGTTGGGCCGGGATCGCGTGCGCGTTTAGATGATGAGGATGATGGTGATGATGGTGGTGCGGGTGATGATGCGGATGAAGTCCGATGAATGCAATTGGCGCGGCACCCGGGGCGGCTGGTGCCATGGCGGCCAGCGCCAACATGTTCTGTGATGGGCCCAGTTGCTGGGGCAAGCCCCACGACTGTACGGCTGCCGCGATCCAGTGCGGATGGGCCACCTGATGGTGCATGACCGACGATGCCTGTGACGGATGAGGTTCGCGGGCTCGGGTTGTTTAGGGCTACGGCTGTCTGCGACAGGCCTCGGGTACTCGGACCGAAGCGGGTACGATCGCGTGGCAGTTGAGGCGCCGCGTCTCACACTTGGTCTCGTCTGCCAACAAAAATAAACAAGTCTACTGGTCAATGTTATTAAGAACAATGCGCAATAAAAGTACGTGCGTGGCCGTGGGTATGTGCGCTGGAACGCACCTAGTAACGTTGAGAGTGATTATGGCGGGTGTAATAAGTTGATCTAAGTATAGGTTATGAAAATAATTCTCAATACATTATCGAAAACTGCTTGTGTTCGATAAAAATCAAAAGATTCGATAACAGTGTACTTTTTTATTCGTTTATTTACTGTTAGTACATTTAAATAATACCACATTGTGTCCGAAAGGTGGTAGATGTATGAAACGTATGGTTACTGTACATGTAGAGGCTTAAAACCTTAGCTTAAACTGTCCCCCTCCTTTGACTTCCCACGCAAAACGACTTAGTCCCAATGTAAAAGCGTCATCGTTCTCTGATTAATTCACCGGTACCCTCAATTGATGACTTTAAATAATTGCCTACATTAAAAAAAAGACCACAAATTGTAATAACAAAATAATAAAATAATAAAAAATTTGATCGTTTTATAATTATCAACTATTAGGTCTAGCAGTTACGTTAGTACCAAATGCATAGAAATAAATACAAATATTAAATAATTAAAAGCTAAGCCCGAATTATTATTATAATTTACGACCGGTTTTGAATTAAAAATTCATCAATAGGTATATACCAAGTCAATAAAATTGCGACTTGTACATTACAAGTATAACAATACTCCAGGCTAATCACATATTTAATTATTTATACTCGTATATTCAATATTAATTATACAATTATATTAAACATACATGTATCTATATATATGTCACAGACATATAGTCAAATGAAACGCTTTTTTTATTATATATATGTGAGTAAATACTTAGTAATCGTATGAATATAAAGGTACATGGGACGCATACAATTCTATAGAAATGATAGTCCTCTCTGTGCTTTTTACAACTTTGATACCATGCAGAGAGGCTTATAACACGTATAAATATCAATGGTATATGAAATCGATTTGAAAAAAAAGCATCGCACAAAAATATAGCAGATAACCATCATTTTATCGCCGGTACACGTATATGCGTCGTTGTGAATGTGTGCTTGTGAATGTTTCCGCGCAAGCACTTGCGTGTACACAAGTTTTTAACTCGAAAACCGCGCACAATTTACGAGGCATAAACGTCAAGTGTAACAACAATATTATTATATTCCGATTTAGTATGTTTTGGCACCGGTTTTGTTTTTAATTATTTTAAATAAAAACTCCGAACGACTTCACGTCGTTAATTACGCTCGGAAAAAATGATTATGACATTTATACACTTGCGTTATGTTTCTAAAATAAATACATGTGCATTATGCGTACACATACATACACACACACGTATGAACACGAATTCACGTACATCAGTCAACACTCAACAAGCACCTTGCATAACCAAACTTCTTATAAATACCCTTTACGCGGCTATTTACCTGTAATTAACTTGATATCTACCTACGTACAGAGGCTTGCATAGAAATCTATTGCGAGGTGCTTCAATAGTTTTACTACTACGTATTTAAAATTTATTTCAATAGTTCATAATTTTGGTAATAATTAATTTTATTGTACTAGAAAGATCGACAGTGGATTATAAAAATAAACCTGCAAATGTTTATGACATTAAACTGAAATCGTATTGAGGAATACTTTTTTTCTAAATTCGTAAATATTTCGAAAGGGGGGTTTGAACACCAACCCACCCCCTAGGTACGAACTTGCCTATGTTAAATTATTATTTATTTGCAGCAATAATCATCGATTATGGCCGTCATCCTCGATGTTTTTTGTGACCTCAAATGTTACATGATTTATCGTCATCTAACCAGGCACCGTGTTGTATACGTTATATGTTATACACGCATATACCTATTTATTTTACGTATATTTTATTAGTTGGTTACTTGGACGTGCATTAAGTATGTATTGTATATGTACAGCTGTTTTGATGATGCGCAGGGTTACGTTTTAGTACGTGTTAAACGTATAATATAAAAAAAAAAAAAAAAATGCGCAATCCGTAGATCGTGAGTGTACACGACACGCGTGTGATATGCACTCGCGTAGGGATAGATTAATTGAATTCGGGCTTAGCGGTGTGTACGTGTAGAGTAAAAGGATGCAGAACGAATTTATTATTTTATATAAGGGTACACGTGTGTCCGATGTCTTTTACCGTGGTTACCGTAAACAATGTTATTCCGAATTGTTTGGCTAATGATAAAAAAAAAAAGTAGGATCCATCGTGTAGTAAACATTACACCTCGAACACGATACAATAAACGTATACGACCTAACCTGTCCATCAATGATTATTACGAACGCACATCAGTCGGCACTGCAATACACCTAAACGAGCGCGTTAAATTAAATTTCTCGGAATCGTGGTCGTCACGGTCTTCGCGTAACAATGGATTCATCTTCATCACTTACGAAATACCGACGATACCAAGAACAGAATAAAAAATACATTTTTTTTTTTTTTTTTGTAACGTGTCACGAAAACCATGTATTATACATGTTATATAGACGGTCGCGTGCTCGTGCTGTAGACAATATTGTGATAATATACCGTCGTCAAAACGGACTTCTCGCGACAACTACACACGTATAATATCATTGTTACACGCGGAAATTTGATTCTCTCCAGATCGAATCCTCTCGTAGTCATCCTCTTGAGATTTACACAGTGGACACTGAACTAGGTTAACGTTAGTCGGCGGAAGCTTACGGACAAAAAGAATAATTACTTGTCAGGCCCGGCTTAAGAGGTAGGGAACATAGGCTCACGCCTAGGGCGGCATTTTTCCTGGACAATTTTTATGTAAAAAAAAAAAAAAAAATATTTGATAAAATATTTACACGTAAGGGCGGCAAAAACCAAATTTCGCCTATGTTCGTTTAAACACTAGAGCCGGGACTGTTACTTGGTCATATATGACACGTTTTCTCGCGACAGTTTTCACTTCATATTGTTTAACTATTATCAGGTCCATCTCAAAATTAGGTTTTAACCGTTTCAAGACATTTAACATAGAAAACGTATATTATGCGATCGACTTGCGATTTTCACATAATTTTCTTTTACGTAAGACATTTAGGCGGATAATCATAGCGAATGACAATCCGTCTGCTTCCGGCAGAGTTAAATATACAACTATATTCTGATAACATCCCTGTAAATACTCAAATAGAAACGTTTCCGTGATCATAATAGGTACAGAAGTTTACATTATGTATAAAAAAAACTGCATCAGACAAACATCATAAACTGTACTGCTACGATACTCGGTTTGAGGATATCCCGGTAGCAATCGATATTTAAATAGTAATTATGTATGTTTTAAGGTTTATCCCGGTTCAAAAGTGAAATTTTCTATTGAAGGAAAACCATAAATAAGTTTCAACGATTAATATTGTAAGAATAATTTTTAATTAAATGATAAACTTTGAAAATACTAAATATAATCGAACCTATTTTATAGTTGAAAATGCATCAGTTTGAATCAACTATGTACCGTTACATTACACTGTAATTCAAGCATATATATACGAATATTTCGATATGTTTTTGTACTTTTTGGGTTAAGACAACAACAAAAAAAAAAAATCCATCTTTTTGAAAACATGTTCTCGGTAAATTAAATATTTTTATTTTTTGTAATTGTTTATCAGTTTTTCTCTATTATTTGGAAAACTGTTGAGAATTTCAAAAAAGGAACACAGACAACATTTCTTATCGGATACCATTCTTGCTTTCTGGTTGTAATTGTGTGGTTAAAAAGTAATGTACACATAAATGTACAACTCTTTTCACTTATAAACTAGAAGTATGAGTATAACATTAGAATACGTATAGGGGCTGCGATGACTGTGATCCTTTTTCATTACTATTTTAGATCATTCTTACTGATCGTTGGCAAGATAAACGACGGTATTTTCCCGTAATGCCGCTAAGTCGAACGCAGATGCAACCGGACAAAAACTTGTTTATTGGTTTTGTTTCTGCGTGAGGTTGATGAGCTCGTCGTCACTGAATAACTTTAAATGTGTATATCACGAGAATTACGAAAATAAACCTTTTACGGAACACTGCCGCTGTTTCTACCGCTGCTGCACACTTCAATTAATTCCCATTAAATGACATTGTATATATTATACCGGACCATCTGTTGGACTCGGTCGACGGTAAAACAATATTATATATACCACGTGCGTATAACGCATAAATTATTTTCGGATTTGGGAATGTCAAGACTCTGGGGCCATTCTTATAGTGATGGCTATTATTATATTTAAATTACGTAACGTAGTGCTTAATAACATTATACTGGCAAAAATTTACCGCAAAACGGTATTTTACTTTTTTAAATAATATTTTATTCAAAAATTTGGGTCTAAAAATGTAATTGTATTAAAGTAACAAAAAAAAGAACATCATTGTAAAACTATAAGATCTATCGCTCTGCTCAGAATATAAAATAATAGGAGAAATACGTTTGGGCGCATTTACCTAAAACAGAACACTTTAGGGCGTAAATCTATAAAACGTTTGGGCGTAATATTTCCCTTTATAATAGTACGTTTGGGGACATTTATTTCTTTGCATATATTAACATTTTGTACTAAATCTGAGTCTATTATAGTTACCCAGAAGACACCACGAAGAAGTTGGCTCAATTGTCTTTTAAAAATATTTTGAGATTTTTTTTATTTATATATCATAATGTAATCTACTTAAATTTGTTTCCTAACATTTTTGTACAAATATTTGTTTTTCTTCAGTTTCTTTTTTTAATTTAATAATTATATTTTTCAATGCTGATTATTTTTAAATTGGTCTCTGTTTGAATTTCAATTAATACTTTTATAACATTTTAATGATGTTGCTTATAAAATTGTTGGTTATAATTTTAATGGAAATATTCCGGTCTATTAGTTATTCTTGAGTATATTTTTGATTC